CCACCTAAACCACCTAAACCAGCTGGACAGAGCCGGAGGGGACTTCGTGGAGAAGAGGGCGCTTGAACCCAGAGATACAAGAACACACAGTAAACCGGGGGCAACAGCACAGACGTGAAGGCCAGTGTCCTCGGGGAACGGCCAGCAGACGGGAGGGAGAGGGTGTAGATGGTCCACTCCAGCCCGCTGGCCTCACCACACCGCCAGCGCCTGGTCCTCGCCGGGTCCGTCCAGAGGTGCGGATGCTTCCCCGCGATGGCAGTGGCCATGTGTCCACTGACGCCAGTCATGAAAGGCTGGGCGGTACCTTGTATACTTTTCTGTCCGTGTCCTTTCTCCAGTCACTTGTTTCTATGTGTTTTGTGTAGTAACAGACTGGGAAGCATCGCTTTGGACGGGAACCGTGGGCGGGCCTGGGGGCACTGCAACACATGGATGGACGGCAGGCTCGCTGACCAGGGCACCTGCCTTCTCTCCGGCCGGAGCTCATATTAACACCTTCTGAATTCCTGTTGCCTTTGTCTTTGCTTCGTTGTGGGTGAGCAGCCTCTCGGTCCTAGAACAACCTGGACAGCGGGCCTCAACCCCGACCTGATCGTCCTCTGGACTATTCTGCTCTGTCTGCAGCCTCCTGAGAGGCTCCTGGCAGGAGGTCCCGTGTCAGGACCCCGGCGGGGCCTCACACAGCCTCACAGTCTCCGCGATCCTGTCACTGGCACCCCTTCTGCAGGCACAGCGCAGGCTGCCAGGGAAACGTGGAGCAGAGACTGGTGCTCCTGGCTCCTGGAGCAGGGGTGTCGTCGGAAGGGGACAGGTGGGGGGGAGGGGAGAGGGAGGGGGGAGGGAGAAGCCTGCTCGTACTTCACACCATCCTTGAGGACAGAGGGCATGGTCTGCAGGTCACGGGATGTGGTCAGAGGGACTGAGTGGACACGTTTGGTTGAAAATGGGCAGATGAGCAGGTGACAATGTCACAGCACCCCTCCCATGAGCCGGGCCCACAAGTGGGTTCCCAGCCAGGGCAGGGAAGGGCCAGACCCCATCCCCTCCTTGAACAAAGTGTGCTAATCAGGACAGGCCTGGAGCGCCCCCTGCCCTGCCGCAGGGCGTCCCTGTGTCCCCTGTAGGTGCAGCAAATGGTGACCACAACTGGGTCGGGGTGGGATAGGCGGGCCTGCCATGGGGTCACACAGACGTGCCCAGATCCAGCCAGGCTGGCGTCCACGCACCCAGAAGCGGCGGAGACAGCGTCATCAAGCCTGCAGGGCATTTGTCTCCAGCAGCGGCAGGGCAGCACTCACACAATTTCAGGCCGACCAAGGCTGTGGACAAGCTGGTACGCAAGGTAGGAACCTGCAGCAATGGTCCTCAGTTCGGTTCCCAGAACCTGAGTCCCTGCTGGTCCTGAGGGTTGAGTGGTTTGGTTCCACACGTAACATGCACTTGCTAATCTGAGATGATGACTTAACAAACCCAATTTCCAGGTGCTCTGGGACCCACTAGGGCCCCTAAGCAGAGGGTCAATGGAATCTGGGTCGAAGGCATCGTACTAAAGATGCTGACCAAGAACGCTGTCACCTCTCCACCCGTCCAAGTGGCCGGGTTCACTCAGACGGACACGTTAAACTGCCTGGACGACACATCCTCACTTGGGTCCTAAATACAAATTTCTGTCCATCACTCTCAAGATTCTGATGTGGCTCCAATTTCCTTGGCCACCCCAACCCCCTGAACTGCCCACCGGGGATGTCTGGGCCTTGCCTTCAGCCCTGTACATGCCCCCTCAGCTGGGGAAGGAGGGACCGCCCACTCCCTGGCCCCAGCCGGTGTCCCTAATGCCTCTGCTCCAAAAGACTGCCTCCTGGATCAACCCTTGGGCCCCAAGGACTTCGGCCCCGGGAGACAGAACTCTGTGTGCAGGCCTGGCCCAGCTTCCTGGATGTGCTCCTTGGCCTGGGCCCGAGGCTCTGGCTCCTCCTTTGCTGGGAGAGGTACTGAATACTTCCAAAGAGCTTGGCCTTCCGTCCAAAGCAGGCCACTGATTCCGCGGGGATGCCCGGTCGTCCTGCAGCACCACTCAGGTCTGTGGTGCGGCTGTGGCTCCAGGAAGGCCCCAGGCACGCCAGGCACCGGCCGGCACCAGGCTGCGGCAGGTCAGGTGGGGCCACATCTAGAGACCACAGGGCTCTCTGCGCAGACAAGCGTGTACCAGAGAAAGGCTTGAGATCCCCTTGTGAAATGACGATATCTCCTCCTTAGTGATCACCCACACAACAACCACAAAAGTGACCTGACGTTACAAGCCGCCGCGCTCTTTCTTTGGGAAAAATTTCCATTGCCAGCATCGTAAACAGAAGGAGTGCCACGTCTGAGCCCCGGGGGAGAGGACGGCTCTGTAAGATAACCCCAAGGGCTCCCCTGAAGACGGGCTTCCACACTGGGAGACGCCTGCGGAGTCGGAAAGGAAGGACTTCATCAAACAGGGACAACGTGGTGAACAGCCTTTAAAATCCACCACATGGGGCCGACAGACCTGGGTACGTAAGAGCGGGGCTCGTTCTTACAAGACGCTCTGAGCACAGACAAACAGATTTCCCCGTCAGGTTCAGAGCACAGCCCGATCCAACAGAAACAGAACATGCTGTTGATTTACTTACCCTAACTTATTTTTACTTACTTCAGATGTCCGTCAGGATTTAAAATGAGTATCCCCCAGGGTCAGCCATTCTACGCACAGAAATACACCCAACAGATACTCCCTGCAACATTGCAGCAACCGACGCCCAGGAGGAGGGCTGCTTGAATAAGCCTGAGCCTCGGACGCAAGGGGAGACGCTACAGCTGCCGGCCTCTGTGCGGGGCCCCAAGAGAAGCGGCTGCTGGGCCCTCCTCCGGTGGGGGAAAGGGCGCCCAGGGGCCAGGAGCGGCAGAAGCTCATTTTATTCAGCTATTCCATCCTCTTCACAGATGACGCAGGCGCAAAGTAAACTTGGCATGAACACACAATGTGCTTCTGTAAGGGGGGCCCGGCCACCGTCCTGCAGCAGGTACCAACCCACAGTCACCACCCGAGACCCCCTCAAGACAGGCCTGCCTCCGCACTATGGGCCTCTGGGGACCCCACCCCGCCCTTCCATCCCAGGAGGGGCCCCTCCCCAGGGGACTCTCTGCCAACACAGCCTTTAATATCCAGGCAATCAATTTAAGCAAAAAGTAAAATGGAGTGGAGAGGAAGCAGCAGACGCCCCCTCTCCAAAAGAACTCGGCAGGATCAAGGGGGTGGGCGGGGGGCGGACTCCAGAGTCCTTGGCAGGTACTACATGTTCCGAAAAGATCTCTCTAAGCTCCAGCATCTCCCAAATCTGCATCAGAAGAGCACTCAAGGCGACATAATGGAAGATGAAAAGCTTTTATCTCACCAGCCCCTTACCTGCACTAAGAGGGAGAGAACTCCTTGGCCAACTTCCCGATACCTGTGGCTCCTTAGTGCTGAGTTCCCAGTGGTCTCCTGGGACAACACACCCTCACTGTCCGCATGCTTGCTGAGACCCTCTGGTCCCCTATAGCTGCCGGCTCGGACTGTCCCGAGACTCTCAGAGCCCACGCCACCCTCCGGCCCAGGGTGGCTCAGACACCTCCTCCCCACCTGTGCCACTGCCTCGGGTGCGAGCTTCCCCCCGGGGGTCAGAGGGGTGGCACTTCCACTGCCAGATGAATAGGACAGCGTGCAGAGAGTCCCCCCACCACCGGGAACGCAACTCAGGCCTCATGCACAGAGCCCAGAACAGGCAAAACTCATCAAATCAGTGACCTCTCAGGAGCCCAGGATGAGAGGCAGAGCTGTGCACTTGCCCTTCGAAGACAGACTGGCCATGATTCGTCCCAAACAAAGTGACCTGGTTCTGTGGCTGAGTGACCCATCTACCCTGAGGGGTCTGCGGGGTCCTTGTCCTCTGAGAGGATCTGGGGTCTGAGATCCAAACAGTGCTGGGGCAAGGGAGACACGAACCCACCAGAGAAGGCGAGAGGTGTGTGGTCTAACTGACGGCCTCCTCTGCTGACTCTGCCAGCTAAGCGCTCAGATGTGACGGGTGCTGAGCTAACCAGACCACTGCTCAGGGACGCACTGATACTGAAAGAAAGCCCTGAGCAGGCACCATGCCCTGACAACACCGGCTTGCATCCCTGTGTCCAGGCAGCTGGAAGAGGCAGGAGAGGGAGGCCCAGAGCCGTGGTCCCCCGACACAGACCCACGCGTCCTGGACCTCAGACAACATGCTGACAGAGGAGGCCAACGAGACAGAGGATGTACCTCAGGGTCACACTTCTGAAAAACTCTACAAAATGCAAACTAATGTGTGGCGGCAGAAAGCAGCACGTCACGGCTGGGGAGGTGGGTGCAGGGAGACGCCAGGGCCGCGCAAGCACTTTCTGGGGCTGATGGGTACTTTCACTATCTTCACTGCAGCGGTGGGTCCACGGGTGGGTCCACACATCAAAACCTGGCAGATTCTCCCTGCCAAACACGTGGTTATTGCATGACGATCACCCTGCAATCAAGGTAACTTTTTAAAAGACCTTTCTTCAACTAAAAACCAAAGGGTAAAATCTTCCTGAAAAGTCCTCATGGTCCTCCTGTTTCTTGGATATGATGTAATCAAACAGCTGTGATTGACCATGAGCCAGCCCAAGGTAAAGATCATTTTTAAAAAGTGCAGCACTATATACAACAGCTAAGAAGACATGGAAGCAACCTAAATGTCTATCAACAGATGACTGGATAAAGGAGCTGTGGTATATTTATACAATGGAATATTACTCAGCCATAAAAAATAATAAAATAATGCCATTTGCAGCAACATGGATGGACCTAGAGATCATCATTCTATGTGAAGTAAGCCAGAAAGAGAAAGAAAAATACCATATGATATCACTTATATATGGGATCTAAAAAAAGAAAAAAGAAGACATGAATGAGCTTATCCACAAAACAGAAACAGACTCATACACATAGTAAACAAACTTATGGTTACAGCAGAAGGGAAGGGCGTGGGAAGGGATAAATTGGGAGTTTGAAATTTTCAGATACTAACTACTATATATAAAATAGATAAGCAAGTTTCTTCTGTAGAGCACAGGGAACAATATTCAATATCTTGAAGTAACTTATGATGAAAACGAATACATGTATGTACATGTATGACTGAGACAGTATGCTGTGTACCAGAAATTGACATATTGTACACTGAATATACTTAAATTAAAAAAA